CTGGTGGCTGAGTTCTTACAGACTGCAGCTATGCAAGTGGAGGAGTTCAACTCGTACTCGAAGGAGAGACAGGCGGCTCTCATCTGGCAGCATTTGTTCGTGGACCGCTCGCCAGTGTCTGAGGCCTGTCGTGGTGTGCTGACGACGCTGCATTTGCTGGGTCTGGACCATCTCGTGGCCAAGCGCGACCTCGCTGCGATTCAGGAATGGTTCAAGCAACAGGACGCCGACGAGTACGTGGACACGGTCTTCCGTCTCTCTGGGCTCAAGTACGCGGTGATGACCAACATTCCGTTCGAACCCGAAGAGGCTCGTCACTGGCTGGGAGACCCATCCACAAACACGCCTCCGCCTGCCTGGTCTCGCAAGTACTTCCGCTCGGCGTTGCGTGTGGACCAGGTCCTTCTGGGCGACTGGGCGTCTATCGGCCCCACCCTGGACGTGTTCAAGCTGCCACACACTCTGGCGGGTGTTCGCACTTTACTGGAGAAATGGATCGACATCATGAAGCCCGAGTACTTCATGTCGAGTGTACCCATTTTCTTCGAGTATCCGGATGAGAATGCACCCAAATCTGCCGCTGACGCTCTGCCGAATGGTGCCGAGTTGTTGCTGCAGGTTTTGTTGCCTTTGGCCGAGGAGAAAAAGTTGCCGATCGCACTCAAGTTCGACAGTGTGCGTCCAATCAACGCTCGCTACGGTGTGGCCGGAGACGGCGTGAAGCCCAGCAACGTGGACATCCTGATCAAACTGTGCAACAACTTCCCGCGCGTCAAGTTCCTGGCCACGTTCCTGTCGCGTGTGAACCAGCACGAGGTGACGGTGACGGCCAACAAGTTCCGCAACTTGCATCTGTACGGCTGCTGGTGGTACTGCAACAACCCGTCGATCATCGAGGAGCTGACGCGCATGCGCATCGAGATCCTGGGCACGGCGTTCACGAGTCAGCACTCGGACGCGCGTGTGCTGGACCAGCTCATCTACAAGTGGAGCCACTCGCGCGACGTGATCGGCGAGGTGTTGGTGGACATGTACGAGAAGTTGTTCGCGACGGGCTGGAAGGTGTCCAAGGGCGACATCGAGCGCGACGTGCAGCGTCTGTTCGGTCAGAGCTACGAAGACTTCATGGACAAGAAGATGTAAAGATTTTCCCTTTGATGAGGCAAAATGAAAAGTTTAGTGAGCAATTTTCAATGCTGTTGCTGAATAATCAATTGTATTTCGTAAAATTTTCGGTTACATTATCAATTTGACCTCATTCTTCTACAGTAGTAGTGCGAGGTATTTTTTGGTCTCAGAGGGGTCCTTTCCAGCCTCATCCAACGCCTTAATGAGTCTTGCTCGGAGCTCCATCATCTGCGTCTGCTGCTTCTGTTTGGTGGTTGCTTCTTTTAGGTTAATCTCTTCACTCTTGAGCTTAAGCGTCTCATGCCGCAGCGCTTGTTGCTGTTTCCACTTGGCCACTTCGAAGTCGAGACGTCGAGATTCAATCGCCAGAAGTTGAAGTTCCGCCTCGTCGACAGCAGCGTTGTCCTCAGATAAAAGTTCGCTTGCCTCACTTTCGGTTTCTTTTGAGGTTTTCTTAGGCTGCCGTGGACCCTGCACTCTGGTCTTGCGCTTCTTTGTCTGAATGATGGAGCTCAGCGGTTTGTCGTCCTCAGAGAGCTCTTCTGCGGCTTCTACATCTGAGTCGCTCGCGCTGTCGCTCGCAGCCACGAGACGCCGACGATCCGCCTTGGACATCGACCGCTTCACGTGCATTCTCTTAATTGTGTTTGATTGGTCGATTCGAATTTTAAATGAAATGTACTAGCCAATCAAGCATAAGTAATCTGATGTGCCTAAGAGCTAGAGTCTAAACTGTCTATGGGGAATTTTTATTTAGCATGTTGAAGTCTAAACTGTCCATGTGGACACTTTATCAATAGAGCATTCCGAGATCGTCTCGACGCTCGCACCCGTGAGGATCATACGCTGGATAATCTCGGCTCGAATATTCACACGCTGGAACACAACTCCGTCTGTGTGAAAGCCTTGCGCGTCTCCATCTCGCGTCGCAGTAATTCCACTTTTTTTAGTACTGTTTGGTGAGGTGTATTGTGTTACCAGCTTGCTGCCTGAACTCTAATAACCATTCCCGACTAGCTTGTGTTGCACCGTCGAGTGTTCCTTGCTCCTCTCCTTCTGTGCTACTTCTTCCTCTTGTCTTCCGGGCTTGCTATCTGGTGCCTGGATCACGTTCGCTGCTCACTCCTTTCCTCCATTGGTTGACGTCCCCTTGTATCCACATCTCCGCCAATGCTCTCAGTTCGTGCTCCATCCCCTCCGCTTCCGCCGTGAACATCACGCTCTTGCCGGTGTCCATGGCGAAGTTTGCCAACCCGTCTGCTGTCTTGTTGTGCTGGCGGTAGTGGTGCTGCCACACTTGGACCTGCCCCTGATCCGCCAGCTTCCTCGCTAGTCTGAACCAGTGCTGCAACTTCCTCGCTTTTGGTGCCTTTCGCCGACGCATGAGTCCCAGGATCATGGCGCTGTCGCCCACGACCTGCATCCCTCTCCACCTCCTAGCCGCTGCTTCCGCGAGTAGCCTCTGCAGTCCCACAAATTCAGCCACATTGTTGGTGGTTCGTTTGTTGCTCAGGCTCGTTGCCGCGGCCCACAGTATCTTTGGCCGCTCACTCTCCCCGGTCCATTCTACTATCCCGCTGAAACTTCCTCCGGGTCCGGGATTTCCCCGTGAGCCTCCATCGAAGAAGCCCACCCGTGTCACGCTACCTCCTCCATCTTCTGCATCTGCCTGCCTAGTGGCAGCTGCCCATGTTGCGCGTATCCGCTTTGCCACAATTATTGTCTCGTGTGATCTTGGTGTTAGCGGGAGCAGTCCCAATGTGTATCTCAGTATCGTGTCCTGCAACGACGCTTTCAATCTGTTGACTGCATCTTCCAGCTGTCCGCTGTCGATGCCGTCCGGGTGCACTTCCGCTACCTTCCACCTCCAGATTGCCGTGATTGTTGCTGCACATCCCATTGTCCACGTTGCTGCTGCTGCTTCCTGTATTGCTTCCCATCTGTCCACTTGCTGCCCGTCTCCCCAGTCTATCAGCCACTGTGGGAGCTTGCTTATTGTCAAGGAGCATATATCTCGTTTCAGCGCTGAGTTACTTCCCCATTCGCTTCCTATCCCGGGCATCCCCCATGCTTTCACCCAGACAGTCCAAAAGGCCTTGGCGTCCGGGCAATTCCACAGCAAGTGATCTTGCCCGCTCTCCGTGCAGTTGGTGCATCTCGTCCCTGCGCATTTGTACTTCATCTCCTTTCCTCTCCAAACCCTCAATCTCCCCATTTTCATCCTCACAATGTTTTGCTTCTGGTACGCTGTTACCCCGTGCATCCGCTGCACGCTCTTCCACGAAAATTGCTCCATTGCCCTGCTGATGGCTGTGTTTGATTGCCCCCTTTTGATCCTCATGCGTTCTTGCTCTTTTGCCGCGGCGCTGCGTCGCTTCCTCCTTATTACGTCCTTGTATGCTTGACGCGACCTAGTCCATCTTCGCTTCCCCGCCCATAGCAGCTGCATGTGTGTCCGGTCTGGATGCGGCGTTACCCAGACCGCCTTGGGCGTCGTTTTCAGTAGCTCTGCTATATTAGCACTCTCCTCCGCCGGGCCGTCCCCCATGCTCACCTCCTTCTCCGTGAACGCCCAGCCGTGCCTGACAGTCGTTCGCTTGTCAGAGCTCTCGACCCAGAAGCTATGGTGTGGGTCCGTTAGTCCATGCGAGACTCTTAAATTGGTCGCGTCTCCTGGTTTGGACACTAGCTCCGGGAATTGAGCCAATACTGATAGCCCTAACTCTCTGAAGAGGTGCGCTTGCCTGCTTTCCATCGGCATCTCCGTGGAGTGCGGTTGCACTATCACCCTGCCTTTGCTCTCGTACTTGACTTCCATCAGGTCTCCAACCAGTTGCACTCCTCGTCCTTCTGTTACCTCTTGTATGTCGACCACTTCCGTACTGCCCCAGTTGCGTCCCGCGGCACCAGCCTCTTGTACGGCAGGTCTGGCCCTGTTTGATGTATCAGTCCGCCGCATTTCTATTCTCTCCGCCTTCTCGCTTGTGTCATTCGCCCCAGTATTTGTGCTCCAAATTCACACACCAACCCCATCTTACTCCAGGTCGTCTTCATGCCGTTTTTCAGCCTCATCTCCCGCCTTATGTCCGCCGTCCTGTCTTCACTGGTTCCTTGCGGCATCTCAGGTGCGAATCCTGTCTCGACTATCGGCTTGCTAATGGTCCAGATGTCTCCGTGTAGCTTTGGCTCAGCGCTGTTCGCATATGGTATAATGTGTCCGATGTTGACTCCTGCCTGTTGCTGTAGCAACTTGCCTGCCCTCTGCTTGCTCTTGGTCGTAGCGGTGGCCCATGTCCCCACTGTCGATGCGGCCAGTGCCATCAACTCTGTTCTGATGTTTGGCACTCCCAGCCCTCCTTCCTTGGGTCTTAATTCCGCGACCACGCCCGGTATCCAGCCCCTCGGGGCATGATCCGGTGTGGAGAATGACGATTGCCAGACAAAGCTCCTCATTCTCCAATCCGCTTCCTTGACCAGGTCACCGTCCGGCCAAGCGTGCCTTGCCACGTACAGTAATTTTGAAACTATGATTGCCGACGCGATTGTCGCTCTCTCCTGCACTGTGTTCGTCTTTTCGACTGCAAGCGCTAGTCTGGTTGTTAGTGTTGCAAACGCCTTGGCCCATGCACTTTTCGTCCTGTCCGTGGATCCTGTGATGTGCCCCAGGTATCTTGTTTCGGTGGCTTCTTGAAGTGGTTGGGCCCCCTTCCCTCTTTGTTTTAGCTCTTCCGTGCCTGCGTCCCCCAGTCGTATGGATAGCGATTTCCCGGCGTTTAGCAGTAGCCCCGACACTTCCGAGAATCGTTTGGCTGTCTTCAGCGCCGTGTCCTGCATTGCTGCGTTCTCGATGTAAATCGCCGTGTCATCTGCGTAGCCAGCCATTTGTATCTGTTCTCCCTCCTCTTGGTCCCCTAGTCTTACTCCTCTGATTCCGTCCTCACACTGCACTGCGTCATACAATAGATCCACCGCCAGCATGAATAGCAACGGAGCCAGCGGGCAACCTTGCCTTATACCACTCGTGACCGGTATTGCCCTTGATAAAGTTCCATTGGCCATAAATTTTACCTCCGTGCGCTCGTGTGTATCTCGCACTAGCGCTCTGAATTTTGGGGGGAGCCTCTTCGCCTCCAGCACTTTGTGCATGTATTCCCTGTCGAGTGAGTCGTATGCTTTCGCAAAGTCTAGAAGCAGCACTTGTGCGTAGGTGAGCTCCTTTTTGCCCGTCGCTGCTTCTTTCGCCGCCTCCAAAAGGTCGATTGCGTCGTGTATTGTCCTCCCTGGAATGAACCCGTACTGTGTTTGATGTAACAACCTCTTTACATGTCTCCGTACTCTCCACGCCAGTATCCTGGTGAGAATCTTGTAGTCGGTATTCAGTAACGCGATTGGCCGGTAGTTTAGTCCGTTGCTTGTGTCCCCCCCCTTTGAAATACTGAAGATGTACGCCTCGCTGAAGGACGTTGGTGTGCTTCCTTCGTCCAGAAAGACGTTGAACAACTTCGCTAGTATTGGCACCAGAGTATCCGCGAAGTCTCGGTACCATTTGTTGCCTATGCTGTCCGGTCCGCACGCTTTTCCGATCTTGCATTTCTTGATCGCTGCTGCTACTTCCTTCTCCGTTATTTTCCTGTCGATATCTTTCAAGTCCACCTTCTCCCAGGTTTGTCTGCATTTGTGTATGAATTCTTGAGCACCCCCCTCGTCTTCTGCCTTCCCGTTGAAGATGCTCTCCCAGCAGTCTGCCAATGTTTCAGCCTTGTCATGTGTGCCCCGCTTGGGTGCTCCGTCGGCGGCCTTGAGCGCCGGGATGATATTGTCTCCGTACTTGGTGCAGATCCTGTTGAAGAAGTATTTGGTTGACGTTTTCGACGTCCATGCTCCTTTGTTGATGAGGCCTCGCCGTTTGAGGGCTCTGCGTTGAGATTGTACCTGTTCCAGCTCTGCTATCCACTCTTCTCGCTGCTTTCTGTCTTCTCCGGTTCCGTTCCTTCCTGCTGCCAGCTTCCGCTTCAGCCTGCTTATTCTTTGTCTGCATCCTTTGGTCGTCCTTCTTCGTGCGTGTTGCTTAAGTTGCGCCATCTCCTTCTTTACTCGTTCTTTGAAGCGATCCCATTCCAAAGCCCATGTACTTGGGCTGATGTCGTCTAGTCCGGCCCCCAGTTCGTTAGTCTCTTCTCTATCATGTCTTTTGTCGCCGCCTGCACGTACATCGGTGGGGGATATACTGTCTCCCTCTTTTTGACCCTGACTGCTCCGTTTGGATGGTGCATCTCCAGCAAGACTCCCCTGTGATCAGAGCCGCATATACCCTCATCCGTGGTTACTCCACGTACTTGTTTTCATTCGTGTCCACTGATGTACCATCTGTCTAAGCGCGAAGCTCTCTTCAATCCGTCCGCTGTAGTATAAGCGTATGTGTGGTGTGTACGGGCGTACGTGTCCACCTCGATGTCCGTTATTGCCTCTGGCATGTTGCTTTTCCCTGTGTCCACTAGCGCGTTGTCCTGCAAGAACATACGTAGTGTCCTCGCCCCCGCATCCTCTGTCCCATTTGATCCGCTTCTGTCTACCTCTGCCATCGTTACGCAGTTAAAATCCCCTCCACATGTGAC